CTTGCTTCAGAAGCCAGAGTGACACTTCTGTGCACCAGGCCAGTCACAGTCGTCCTACCCCGGCTCCCCGATGAGAGGGAAGTAGTAGTCACATGGTGGCAGGCTGTGGGGGCCTGAAAGTGCTGTCACAGCCATTGTCAGGAATTACACCCTGCCCTGGTGGCTGCACACAAACCTTGATCCCCCAGTCAGAGCTTCGACTGGGCCTCGCCAGAGCTCCTGGCCAGGCTTGATGTGTGGCCACACAGGCGGTTCTTCTAGGGCGTGGCTGGCTGTTTAGGGGGTGGGTGTGTGACAGGTGTGTCCCTCATCCTTCTGTGGGCTAGCCTGGGCTACTTCATGTGGCAGCTAGGCCAAGGGTGGAAGTGTGCCAGGCTCAGAAACACACAGTGTCACATGCATCCCGTGCTGTTGGCCAGGCCAGTGGGGAGGCAGCCCAGGCCCAGAGTGCGGCAGACCCTGTGGAGGGCTGCGCTGGGGGCCTCCTGACGGCCTTTGCAGCTGACCACAGCGGGCCTTGCTCCAGCCCCTTCCCTCCAGCCCACTCCTGCCACCTGAGCCTCTCTTCTCGGTCATGATTTCGCAGTCGTCCTTGACCCGTGGCAGACGAGAGCCGAGAGCCCTTGCCGTGGACTGCAGATACACCTAGAAATGCCAGCTCCTTGACGTCACGTTGTGTTTGCCTACAGGAGTGGAAAGCCAGACAGTGGCCTCACCTGCGAGGGCTGAGAGTTTGGAAGCAAACTCTGTGAGGAGCGACTGAGGCGCTAGCCCTGTCCCCCCTCTCAGCCGCCCCCCCGCGGGGTCCTGTCAGCCTCAAGGGTGTGTGTTTGAACTGGGGATTGAACCCAAGGATGCTTTACCACTCAGCTGTATCTGGGCCTTTTCACCTTTAATTTTTTTTTTTAATTTTTTCGCTGTAGATGGACACAATACCTTTATTTTATTTTATTTTTTATGTGGTGCTGAGGATTGAACCTAGTGCCTCACATGCACAGGTCTTGCTCTGTGCCACTGAGCCATAACCCCAGCCCCTCAGTTTTATTTATTTATTTATTTATTAAAGATATTTACTTAGTTGTGGATGAACACACAGTATCTTTATTTATTTTTATGTGTGAACCCAGCGCCTCACACATGTGAGGCACGCACTTTACCACTGAGCTACAGCCTCAGCCCCCTCACTTTTTATTTTTGAGACAGGGTCTCAATTAGTTGCTGCGGGTCTCGCTAAGTTACTGAGACTGGCCTTGAACTTGCGATCCTCCTCCCTCAGCCTCAGGTGGGCACCACTGTGACCAGTCAGCCTCAGGTTTGTCCTCTGGTGGTTTCAAGATAGTTGCCACAGCTCTACTTTCCTCAGCTCTGTCGAGAACTATAAGCAGCGAGCAAAAAGCTTCCTTCCAGAAAAGCTCTGATTTGCATTCTGGAAGAAGCACGGTCCAAGTCGGCCAGAGTCCCCATCCTTCTCACAGAGCAGACGCCAGGCCTGTGCACCTGGTGTCGTTATTTGTGGTTCTGTGGCTACTCTAGCTGCAAGGCAGGCGGGAGCGTGGATACCTGGGGAAGGAGGTTGGAGTGCCCGGCTTAGTCCAGCTCCCTGCAGGCTGTGTGACCACAGCTCACAGTATGTTTGAGAGGCACGTGATCTGAAGTTCCCCAAACACCAGCCCTTCCCGTGCGAGAGCACTGGAGTGTTCTCTTCTCTTGGTGGGTTTGACTGCACGCTGTTGGTGGAAGACACTCTGGGTCACAGCTTGCTCATTTGATTTCACAACCTTCCAAGGCGTGACCCGTAGTTGGGAAAGGCCTGGCTCAGAGCAGGCTTTGTTTACATCTTGGAGTTGGCAAGTATGTTCCCCCGAGCAGTGGGGCTCTGCGAGCACGCAGGGGGGAGGTGGGGAGAGCAGCAGGTAGACGCCATGCCACAAGTGACACCAAATGACATGGTTTCTTAGGCTTTTGCTCTTTTTCCTTCAGGGAATGGGAGAGGTACTAAAATTCCTACTGGGAAGTGACAGGGAGCCGGGTTCTGGAGCTGACGGGGCCTGTAGCTCCCTATCCTACGAGGCCGCCTGGCTCCCGCACAGCTCTTGATGACAGTGCAGAACTCCGATGGCATTACAAGTGGAGGAGGAATTCACACGGTTTTCTGGAAGGACACTTTGTCATTGTTGCGTCACTGCTGCTCTCAGGCTGGCTGTGGTTTTCAGGCCTGGCCCAGCTGCTTTTTATAGTGTGGTGGTGAAGGAGGAGGTTTTCTGAATCATAGGGTCTGAGTTCAAATTCTGGCCCCACGGTATGATTTGGAGCCAGTCCTGACCCCTTCTGAGTCTGTTTTCCATAAAGTGTGAGTCAGCCCCATTCCTCCCTCACAGTGGAGTGTTGGGCACATTGTTGGTACGAGGCCCCACATGCCCAGGTGCCCCATGTGCCCTGTGCCTGGGCTTACGCAGCTCGAGGTTGGGCCACAGGTGAGCCCTGGCTCTCCGAGACTTACTTTGGCAAAGGCTTGGCTCACCTGTGTGCCTGCCTGCTGCGGGTAGACCTCCTCTGCCCACGTCCAGTCTTCTCCACTCTGTCCTGGGAGTCAGCAGAACCACGGGATAACTCTTAAAGCTTCTGCTCTCAAGGGATGCTGCATTTCATTTCAAGTCATGTGGCCATGCCTGCAGGAGCAGGCCGTCGAGGGCCAGTCTTGCACAGCAGCCCCCGCCCCCATGCGCTGGCAGTGCTGGGTGGCAGCTCTGCACGCAAGCAGCTTGCCCCGCCCCGTTGCTTTGCAAAAGCTTCTGGGTACAGGAGGGTGGCGTGGCAGGGGTTGTCCAGAGCCATCTTCAGTACACAACTACTGACTACGCTGCCAAAGCCAAGGACTAGGTCTGCATTAGCTCTTCAAGATGTCCGTAGCTCTTCCCTGTGCCAGACACACAGTAGGTGCTTAGTGAATGTGTTTTCACCAGGCTGCTCTTTAAATAAATGAACGGTTTTGTTGAACTCCCCCATGAGCTCACACTTTCATTCCATAAGTATTTATTATGGCCCTACTGTGTGCCACTGCTATGCAGGAAACTTAACAGGCAACAGCCTCTCCTTGATGTTTTGGTAGGAGTGACAGTAAACAACCACACGTAGTATGTTAGGTAGCAAAGTTTCTTTTATTTATTTATTTATGTGCTGAGAATTAAGCCCCAGCAGCTGCTCCATCACTGAGATTCACCCCCACCCCAGTCCCGTTTTTAAATTTGAGACAGGGCCTTGCTAAGTTGCTGAGGCTGGCCTCAAATTTGCCATCCTCCTGGCTCAGCCTCCGGCATAACTGGGATTATAGGTGTGCACCCCACACCTGGCTAAAGTATATTTTAATTAAAAATTTTTCATGATGGACCTCTTCAGATATATACCACATAGAATAATAAAAGGCAGAGCCCCAGGGCCAGCAGCCAGCTCCATCCACCACATTCATGGGTGAGCTTCTTGCTAAGGGTGGTGTCCAACCCTGGGCCCTGCCCTGGGGAGGCCACCAGCCACCAGTGGCAGTTAGGCACTTGCCCTGTGCCTGGCTTAACTGAGGACTGTGCTTAATTCTGTTTAACTTTTTTATTTAAATATTATTTATTTAGAACTCATGTTCCTGATTGCCTTTCCTTAAGAGTTTTTTGTGGTGGTAAAGGTGCACATACCACCAGCTTTCCCAGACTTGCTGTCAGAAGTGTGCATTAGAGTGGCGTCGAGTGTGTTTGCACCGCGCAGCTGCTGCCGCATCTCCCCAGGCCTTGCAGCCTTCCAGTGGAAAGCTTCAACCACCCTAACCCCTCTGACCGCTGTGACCACTCCGGGCTCCCCACGGCTTGTTTCACTTAACACAATGCGCGCGGGCTCCTGCAGGTGGTGCGGGATTCCCTCCTCCAGCATCGGCCCAGCCGCGCGCCTGTGCCGCGTTCTGCGTGTCCATTCCTCCATGGTGGCCGCTGGTTGCTGCCGTGTGTGAATGGTGTTGTGGACATGGGTGCACGGGTAGCTCTTTGCAGGTGTGTCCTGAGGCGGGGCTGCAGGATCACGTGGTCATTCTAACCTGAGCGCGTGCAGGGGCTGCCGGGCTGCCGGACTCTGCCACGTTCCTGCCACTCGTGCTGGCGCTGAGCTCCGCCGCTGCGTCCTGGCCATCCCTTGTTACTTTCTGCATTTTTTTTTTTTGAAAGTGGCCACCCTCGTGGGTGTGAGGTGGTCTCCTGGTGGTTTTGATTGCCTTTCCCTAAGGATCCATCATGCTAAGCATCTTTTTATGTTTATTGACCTTGTGTATTTTCTTTGGAGAGTTCCTGTTCATTCCTTTGCTCTGGTTTCATTTGACTTTAACTAACTTGGACTTTCTCACGTGGAGCCTTGGTGGCTGGCAGCCCAGTCCTGGACAGTAGGCCCTGAGCCCCCACAGCTCATAGGTGTACAGTAAACTAGGTGGTGCTGTCACCGCCCCCACCAGATGCTGGAGGGGTGTCTCTTAAAGGGAAGGCAAAAGGGAAAACACGAAGCCATAATGACACCTAGAATCTCCATCGCAATTCCTCATTTTCATCATAAACCCAGGGGACACATAGATTGATTGTCTCCTTCAACCCCTGGTGTTTGTCTTAATCCCCAGCCCAGTCACAATGCAGAATGTTTTCCTCAGTCCAGAAAATTCCCTGTTCTTTTCTTTAATATTACCATTGGAATAAAAACACATGAATAAAAAATTCTCAGAAGCAGGCACAGTGGACACACCTGTAGTGTCAGCCACTCAGGCTGAGGCAGGAGGATCCCTTGGGCCCAGCAGTTCAAGGCCAGCCTGGGCAACAGCATGACCCCATCTCAAAAAGAAAACTCCCATAGATCACTTGGAGTTCCCATTTGGAGATCACCCACAGGATGCTCTTCTGCCCCTGACTCTGCTGGCAGGAAGCTCACAGAGCTTGGTCCCGGCTGGAAACCAGCGGCAGAGGGAGGGAGAAGGTCTGCAAGCCCTCTGAAGCTGGGGAGCACCTCCAGCCACAGGCAGCGTGCCTGGGTTCCAGATGCCAAGGGGCCATGCTCCATGGTCTTTGACAGAGCTCTCTACGTCTTTCTGAGGCCTGGGATCTAAAGAGGGTAAGCGTCCGGCTGCGCCTGTGGTCCCTCTCTGCTGCACCACCATTGCTTTCCAAACCCTGAGTGTCTCAGGCCTCCACAAGTGACGCAGACACACGCTGCCGCCTCCTAATCGTGTATTTGCTTCTAGTCTGATAATCAGCGTTTGGAGGGGGCTGTCTGGTGTCCACCCTGGCCGCTCACCAGAGAGCCACCCTCCCTGAGCCTCCGTTTCCTCATCGACACATAGGGGTGGTAAGCACCCGCCTCGTAGGGACTGAGATGGAGAGATGAGTGAACACCCCGATGCCCACACCAGGGGCTGGCGCACAGTAGGCCCGCTCTTACGGTCATCGCTGCAGTCCATCCTCGCCCCTCACAGATTCCCTGTGGGCAGTTCACTGACTTGCAAAAATGGTACCTTCCTGGTCACGTGCAAAAGGGTCTAGCGTGATGAAAAATTGGAGTTCCCAGTGTCCGGCCTTTTCATTTCAGCTCATAGTAGCCTCTTTTCAGTCTTTTAGTGCCATGTTTTCATGTCATTATGCTTTTTGGTGACAATTTTGCCAGTTAGAATGGCCCCCAAGCCCTGTGCTAAAGCACCATGGAGGCCGCGGCTCCCTGTGGTGTGTCCACAGCTTCTGCTGAGGGGTGTCCTGAAACGGGGAAACCTGGGGGACGTTGGGCTGGTTGACAGAAACCTGCCCTCGTCTCCAGGAGCAGTGGCTCCATGTTCACTAGTTCAGTGCTTGTGACAACTCTGTGGGACTCAGTGGCCTTAAGGAAGGAGAACTGGCCCTGCCCGGGACCACCTCTGGTGCACGCACTGCAGCCTGGTGCACGCCATGGCGGCGGGCACGTGGTGTTGTGTGCTGGGAACCGCATGGCCTCAGCTCATGCTCGTCCCCGCTGTCCTTGCGACCCCTTTAGCCTTGCCCTTTCAGCCCTCGCCATCTCCTCTGTCTGCTGACCCATCCCTGACCCTGCGCCTCTGTCTCACTCACAACCTCTCTCATTCTCTCTCTGCAGCTGGCCCCTGAAAGGACACTCTCCAAGTCCCCAGCGGGGGGCCCCGCGTAGACCTGGAGCGGACACCCCCTCCTTCCCTTCATGATTCGTTTGTAGCGCAGGTAACCAGGGAAGAATCCCTCCGTGCCCCTCCCTGGGTCCACCATGGCTGTGGGATGAGGAAGGAACTTTCCCACTTGGCAAAATCTATCTTAGCGACCTCCTTCCGCTCTTCCTGCTCCAGCCTAGGTCACTTGGGCCATCCCCCTGCCTCGTGCCAGTTGCAGACAGGACCTTACTGCCCCTTTTCCCCTTCCTCCAGATCCTTCGCAGCTCTGGCCTTGGTGGGCCGCCCTGGCTAGTTGGGGAGGGCAGGGCTTGTGGCAGAAGGAAGCACAGCGGGGGGCTGGCGGTGGGGCAGGAGAACGTGTGTCCCCACCCATGTGCAGAGCCCAGGAGTGCCCCAGCTATGCGGCTCTCTGCGCTGTGTGGCAGGAGGGCCATCTGTGACCCCTGAGCACATGCAGTGTGTCGCTGGGGCATGTTTCTGGCCAGAGGCCTTTGGGTTTCATCAGCCTCCGCTAGCACTTCTCAGAGAAGCCCCAGCCTCCACTGGAGGCCCCGGCCCACACTCTTCCTTTCCATCCCAGAGCACTCGAGGCTGGTGGGTCAGGGTGCCCAGAGGAGGTCGCTGTTAGGCACGTCCAGAGGGTGTACTGGGGTGAGGGGCTGCGAACCCACAAAGAGCATGCAGGATCATGAACGCACGGGGCTTTGCCTGTGCAGTCACCAAGCCCTCAGTGGGCTCAGGGCCCTCCCCTACGTGCACACACCAGCAGGTGAGAGCCCCCCAGGCCTGACTGTGAGCCCCCACTGCTCGAGGACTCTGTCTCCCTTGCTGTGTCCCTAGGGAAGGGAGATGGTAGAAGGAACCCGGGGGGGGGGGGGGGGGCAGGAAGGGATGGGTGGGCGGGTCCACTGTCTAGGGGGAGGGGTGCGGCTGGATGAACTTTAGAGATGGGAAGATGGCAGTCTGGAGGGACAGGGGAGGAACACCCCTTCCTCACGGGGGTGACAGGCAAACATTTGTGACCTGCCCAGGCCTGGCATGAGGCAGGCGCTCAGCAAATGTTAGCCCTCGCCATCCTCATCACTCCGACAGCGAGGGTAGCCCACCCCATGGGCCCCTCTCCCCTTCCTCTACCTTGGTTCCCCCATCTCCTTCCCTTCCTTGAGAACCACACCGCATGGCCTTCAGGGGGCCTGGGACCTGGGACCATAGGCCCCACCCCAATTCCCTCCCTGATCTGCTCCTTCACGGGGCAGACCCCTACCACGTGCCACTCTGAGCCAGGCCCTTCTCCAGGGAGCAGGCAGCACACTGGTGAAGAGCAGGCCTGGGGCGCCCTGGGTTCAGGGCCTGGCTCTGCCACCTGCTTGCTGCACAATAGAGAGCAGCCATCTTGGCACCGCCAGCTCCTCATCTGCAGAGTAGAGGTGGCAGCACTCCCCCCCACAACACACAGGCTTCCTAGAGGACTCATTTAGCTAAATGCATCTGAAGCACTTAGCACAGGGCCTGTGTGGTCCCAGCTGATGTCACTGTCATTGTCATCCTCAGGTGTTTGGGGGAGTTTGGGGATGAGGAAAGGGAGCTGTCTTTGGTCAGGAGTTTCTGCCTGGGAGGGCACCCGCTCTCATCTGTCCCCACAAACTCAAGGAAGCAGAAACTCTGACCCCTCCAGGGGGCTCCCCTGAAGGGAGGGGACTGAGCAAACTGTCACGATCTAACCTTGTCTCCCTCGCCCTCTTCCTGACCCCACCCCATCCAGTGGCGATGGATGATGAGGATGGGAGATGCTTACTAGACGTGATTTGGTGAGTAATGGGTTCCCCACCCGCCCTCTCTCTCAAGCACCCCACTCCCCTTCCCCCTCCCAGCTCACCTCCTCAGTGACTCTTCCTTTTCTCTCTTTCAGTGACCCTCAGGCCCTCAATGACTTCTTGCATGGATCCGAGAAGGTAAATATGGGTCAGAGAGAGGCATTCCTAGATAGAGAGCTATGGAATTAATTGGCAGTGAAATGTGTCCCCTTGATTCAATAGATGTCTGCTCTGTGCTTTGTGTAAGCCAGGTACTGGGGTTATATTGATGAGCAAAATGATAAATTCTTGCCCTTACACCACATGTTATCTCTTTGCTAAGCAAAGAAGATGATAATTAATAAAGGTAATATGAAACCACTGTGCACAATATGGTGAGAAATAATGATGTCTTCTGCGCAAGAAAGAGGTTTGGGCTGGAGTGTAGCTCAGTGGTATAACACCTGCCCAGCACACACAAGGCCCTCATTCATTCCCTGGCAATGTGTTGCATGTGTGTGTGCGTACACATACAAACACACACACACACACACAATTAAAAGAAAATGAAAGGGATAAGAGTTTCCATTAGCTGCTGTGGTCAGAGAGGATGACGTTGAAGGTAGCCACAGTGCTCCTGGCAGATACAAAGGTAGGAAAGGGAGTGGCATGTTCAAGGAACAGAAAGAAAGCTGATTGGGCCAAACTGAAGTGGAAACTAGTAGGACGTAAGATGGAGTGGACAGAAGTCACCAGGTTATGAGGGCCTGGGAGGCCCTGACAAAGGAGTTTAGATTCTTCATTCAGAACGTGACAGCAGCCCTCATGGGTTATTGAGCAAGAGAATCCGAGATTCAGTTTTCACCCTAGAGATTGGAGCAAGGGTGAGGCTATGAGCAGCTCTATTAGTTTTCTCTGGCCTTGCAACAAATCATCTCCATATGACTTGAGACATCTGTTACAGTTTGTGATACTTAGGAACTTGCAAGCAGCTTAAGTGGATGTTTCTGGCTCAGGGACTCTTATGATGGCACAATCAAAACATTGACGGGGGCTGTGTCATCTGAGGGCTCTCTGGGGCTAGAAAATGTCCTTTTGCCATGACTCCTGCCTATGGCTGCTTGTAGGAGGCCTGAGTTCCTCATCAAGTGGGCCTCTTCGTGGCACTGCTGGAGTGTCCTCAGGACATGGCAGCAGGGTTCCCCCGGAGGAATGATCTGAAAGAACAAGGAGGAAGCCACAGGACCTTTCATGACCCAGTCTCCAGAGTCCTGCATGGTCGCTTCTGTCATGTTGTATTCACAGCAGAGAGTCCTGGCCCACGCTCAGAGGGAGGGGATGAGCTCCGTGCTAGAGAGGAGAGGTACCGAGTAAGTCTTGGAGCTGGCGCAAATGCAGCGGGAGACACTGGCCTGGCTGCGACTCAGGCAGTGGGGGACACTGGCCTGGCTGCGACTCAGGCAGTGGGGGGTGGGAAGTGCTGGCTCAGGATCTGTTTGGAAGGTGGAACTAATAGAACTGCTAGTGGATTTAATGTCAGGGGATTGAGAGGGCCTCGAGCAACTTCCAGATTTTGACTTGAGCAACTAAATGGATTGTAGTGCTGTGTTTCTAAGAATTGAAATTCAGGGCAGATTCCAGAAGTCCTGGTGAGATGTTGGATATACAAGTTGGGGTTCTGGAGAGACCTTCAGCTGAGAGAAAATTTTAGAAGTCCTCAGCCATGGACAGACCCACACTGGGCCCTTAAGTATGGATGCCAGAGCCTGTTCTAGGCACCAGAGATGCTCCTGGAACTCAGAACCGGGCCTCACCCTCTCAGAAACAGGCCCCTGTGGTGTGTTAGGTAGTGAGCTGTGTGGAGAAGGGGTGACCTGGTGAGAGGGAAGGGCAGTGGTCGGGAGCAGGTAGCACCCGAAGGACGCGCTGCCGAGACTGAGGGCCAAAGACAGGGGCAGGGTTTGGCCACAGGCACCGAGGCAGAAGTCTCAAGTCCAAGGAAGACACACCAGAAGAGCCCTGAAGGCCAGCCTGGGGCTTGGCCTGGGCCTGGGTTGCCTTGGGTTCTGAGTGGGCCACCAGGCCCATTTTCTCTGGGGCCAAGGTTCCTATACCCTCCACCTCACCCTCCTCTTTTTGTCTAGAATAACCCCAGATTGCCTTCAGGGTTACTGCTCTAGAATTTGGGCCTGCCCTGCTGACCTTTAACTTCAGGTGGGGACGGGTCTTGTTGCAGCTGGACAGCGATGACCTCCTGGATGCCCCTGGGGAGTCCCAAAGTGCCTTCTATGAAGGTCCTGGGGTAAGTGTCCACGCTCGAGTTGCTCAAAAAGCAGGCAGTGGGAGGAGGCCCCAAAGGCCAGAGGGAAAGCCTGGGTGTATGCCCTGGAGGCTTTGACGAGCCAATGCAGGGGACAGTCACCAGGAACAAGGTGGGGCAGTCCACGCGGTTGGACTTCCCTGACCGTGTGTGAGGCCAGCGTGTCCTTGAGCCAGCTGGTGCAGAGCAGTTCTGGGAGCTGGGCTCACCCTGGGACACTGCTCTGGAGAGAGGGGTGGGGGAAGGCAGGGGTCCTGCCCTGGGTGGCCTGGGGAGGGGCCTCCTCACACAGACATGCCTCTGCCTGGGGGATGAAGGTGTGGTGACCACAAAGTTCGGAGTGGGGAAGTTGGGATGCACTGGAGCACCAGCCGGGCCCCTGCCCTGGCCTCGTTCCCTGCGCCCGGCTCTCGGTATCTTAAGGTACAAATGGTGGGGATGCTAATTTCCATTTAGTTCTTCCAGCGACTATAATATTATATTCCGAGTAATCTGCCTTTCATGACATAAATGTTTACATTTAGAAACAACTACAACATGTCCCGGCAGAGTTGTTACGTGTATAGACCTGAGACGATGATAACCCTGTACTTTTATTATTTTGTGATCGTTATTCCCATCGTAACTGTCACTCTTTCACCTGTGAGGTCCCCGGCTGGGTTCCTAGCACATTTCACACCTGGTGTCGGTGAGTTCTCACACTGTCCCTAAGGCTGGCACTTCGTACCATTTGGCCTCAGAACCCCGGGGCACAGCGGCCTCCCAGGTGCTCATTCAGTTTGGCCAAACAGAGCCCTGTCCTGCGGTGCCCCCTCCTCTCTCCTCACCAGCTGGGGCCCAGGTGGCCTCCCTGCTTGGAAGGAGGATGTAGCAGCACCTCTTGCTGGGCTTTTACTAAAAACAGGGACAATAATAACCGCTCTGTTTCTCACACGCGTGCTGTTCTGGGCGTTGCTCTAAGCCCTCCGTGGGTTCATTCAGAACTTTCAAGTTACAGGTTTTGATCCATTATCTGGTCTAAGATTAGTGAAGATGACATATTCCAAGCCCAAGTACTGCCCGTGGGGCTCCAGCTCACACACGCGCAGCCTGGATTGTGTCCCCCTCAGGCTGAAAAGGGCTTTGGAAATGTTGAACTCACAAGGAATGGTGGCGCACGCGGATAATCCTGGCACCTCAGGAGACCAAGGCAGGAGGATTGCAATTTGAGGCCAACCTCAGCAATTCAGGGGGGCCCTAAGCAACTTAGTGAGACCCTGACTCAAAATAAAAAATAAAAAGGAACTATTTAAAAATTCATTTTTATTACCATCTGCTGATGGGACCCGTGAGAAACTGAAGTCAGACTAAGCAAGCCCCAGGTTGCCACCCAGGCACTGGCAGAGCTGGGGTCACATCGCAGGGCCACTGCATTCTGGCTGGAGTGTTCTTTCCATTTTTTTGTTTTAATATTTATTTTTTAGTTGTAGTTGGACATGATACTTTGTTTTATTAATTTATTTCTATGTGGTGCCGGGGATCGAACCCAGGGACTCGCAAGTGCCAGACAAGCGCTCTGACGCTGAGCCGCAGCCCAGCCCCGTGGAGTTTCCTGAACAGGCTTCAGTGACAGTGACGCCGGGTGTGCTCTTCACTAACCTCAGCTCTCCCCCTTCCCCTCCCTCACCCCAGCTCCATGTGCAAGAAGCTCCTGGCAACCACCTGAACCCAGAGCCCAGCCAGCCGGCGCCTAGCGTGGACCTGGACTTCCTGGAAGATGACATTCTGGGCTCGCCCGCCACAGGGGGCGGCGGGGGCGGCGGGGGCGCCGACCAGCCCTGCGACATCCTGCAGCAGAGTCTCCAGGAAGCCAACATCACCGAGCAGACGCTCGAGGCCGAGGCCGAGCTGGACCTGGGTCCCTTCCAACTGCCCACCCTGCAGCCCGCGGATGGTGGGGCCGGTCCCACGGGTGCTGCAGGGGCAGCCACTGTGGCGGCAGGACCCCAGGCCCTCTTCCCAGGCAGTGCCGACCTTCTGGGGCTGCAGGCCCCACCCACTGTGCTGACCCACCAGGCCTTGGTCCCCCCCCAGGACATGGTCAACAAGGCCCTGAGTGTCCAGCCCTTCTTGCAGCCCGTAGGCCTGGGCAATGTGACCCTGCAGCCCATCCCAGGCCTCCAGGGCCTGCCCAATGGCAGCCCTGGGGGGACCACAGCGGCCACCCTTGGCCTGGCACCCATCCAGGTGGTGGGGCAGCCCGTCATGGCGCTCAACCCACCCACTTCCCAGCTGCTGGCCAAGCAGGTGCCTGTCAGCGGCTACCTGGCCTCAGCAGCTGGGCCCTCAGAGCCAGTGACCCTGGCTTCAGCTGGTGTGTCCCCCCAGGGGGCTGGCCTGGTCATCCAGAAGAGCCTCCCGGCGGCCGTAGCCACTACACTCAACGGGAACTCTGTGTTCGCGGGGGCGGGGGCAGCCACGGCAGCAGCTAGCGGGGCACCCTCAGGACAGCCCCTGGCAGTGGCCCCCGGCCTCGGCACGTCGCCACTGGTGCCAGCACCCAATGTGATTCTGCACCGCACCCCCACACCCATCCAGCCCAAGCCTGCAGGCGTGCTGCCCCCCAAGCTCTACCAGCTGACGCCCAAGCCGTTCGCCCCCACGGGCGCCACGCTCACCATCCAGGGCGAGCCAGGGACCCTGCAGCAGCCGCCCAAGGCCCCCCAGAACCTGACTTTCATGGCAGCGAGCAAGGCAGGCCAGAACGTGGTGCTCTCGGGCTTCCCGGCGCCCGCCCTGCAGGCCAACGTCTTCAAGCAGCCCCCTGTCACCACCACGGGCGCAGCCCCATCCCCGGCCCCCGGGACCCTGAACAAGTCCATGAGCCTCCACCTCCTGAACCAAGGCAGCAGCATCGTCATCCCAGCCCAGCACATGCTGCCCGGCCAGAACCAGTTCCTGCTGCCCGGCACGCCTGCCGTCCAGCTCCCCCAGTCACTCTCAGCCCTGCCGGCCAACGTGGGGGGACAGATCCTGACCGCCACCGCCCCCCATGCAGGTGGACAACTCATCGCCAACCCCATCCTCACCAACCAGAACCTGGCAGGCCCGCTGAGCCTGGGCCCTGTGCTGGCCCCGCACTCAGGGGCCCACAGTGCTGCCCACATCCTCTCGGCCGCCCCCATCCAGGTGGGCCAGCCCGCACTCTTCCAGATGCCCGTGTCACTCGCTGCCGGCAGCCTGCCCACACAGAGCCAGCCGGCACCCGCTGGCCCTGCTGCCACCACCGTCCTCCAGGGGGTCACGCTGCCCCCTAGTGCCGTGGCCATGCTCAATACTCCCGATGGGCTGGTGCAGCCGGCTACCCCCGCTGCCACCACCGGGGAGGCCACACCGGTCCTCACGGTGCAGCCCGCTCCCCCAGTCCCCCCAGCGGTCAGCACGCCACTGCCTCTGGGCCTCCAACAGCCTCAAGTGCAGCAACCCCCACAGGCCCCCACCCCTCAGGCTGCTGCCCCACCTCAGGCTACCACCCCCCAGCCCAGCCCAGGACTGGCATCCAGCCCGGAGAAGATCGTCCTGGGGCAGCCACCCTCTGCAGCCGCCACGGCCATCCTCACTCAGGACTCCCTGCAGATGTTCCTGCCCCAGGTACCAGGGCTGGGCCAGGCGGGGGGACTGGGCCAAGCGGGGGAGTTGAGGATTGCCCCCCAGCCGAAACCAGATGTGGAAAAGGCAGCCAGCGGCGGAGGGGGGAGTGTCTCAGCACAGGTACCGTGGGCACAGCTGACCCCCAGGAGGTCAGGGTGAAGGACCTGGCTGAGACAGCAGGGGCAGACTGGCAGATTGGCCAGCGGGTGTGCAGAGAGCAGGACTGACTGACAGACAGATCAGGGGAAGGACGGACAGGCAGGGGAAGGGACCTGCTAGCCAACTGACAGACAAGGAGGAGGACCTCTCAGTGGGCAAGACCGGGCGACGGACAGACAGACAGACAGCAGAAGGGGGGAGTGGGTGGGGCTGGAAGACACCCAATGGACTGGTGCCAGGGCCCGGGTTGCAGCTTCCCTGGCCCCGAACGCTGGCTGCCCACCACACGTTCTCTGGACCCAGAGGAGCAGCGGTCTCTGGTGGGGGGGCGGGGGTCCGTGGGGTGTCTTCTGACCCTGTGCGGGCTGCCCGTTGCAGGAGAGGAGCCAGCAGCCCCTCTCCACAGAGGGCCCCCACCTCTCCGTGCCTGCCTCGGTCATAGTCAGCGCCCCGCCTCCCGCCCAAGACCCAGCCTTGGCCACCCCCACCGCCAAAGGAGCTGGCCTCGGCCCTCAGGCCCCCGACAGCCAGGCTTCCCCGGCTCCAGCCCCCCAGGTAGATGAACCCCAGCAGCCTCTGTCCTTGGCTGAGACCCAGCCTCGCCCCTGCTCCTGCTCTCCTCCCCGCTCTGCCCTGCCTGCCTCTGTCTTGCTGACTCGGTGTGCCCCCTGGCCCCCTGCCCCCCCCCCCGCCAGCTGTCCATATTTTGTGAGTGTCTCCAGAGAGCGGGGACCGGTGAGACCAGGTCCAGCCCTGGGAGCCCACACTCTAGGTAGGGACACAGGATGCCTCCAGCGGGAAATGAGTTATTCCTAAAGTTGCCAGGCTCACGCTGGAGTAAGTGACGCCCCCGAGGGTTCACATCCCAGGAGATGCCAAAAGGGGTGGTGAAAAGCCCCCTCCTCAGCCTCTGAAGCTCCCTGGGGTGGCGTCTTGCAGTTCTTTTCTGTACTTAGAGGAAAGTCACACGTGCATTCTTTCCATTTTTACAAACACAACGTACTCTGCCTACTGGTCGCATCTTATCATTTCCAGTGACCTTAGAGACATTCTTCTTTTCTACAGCTGTGTGGTGGCGTGCTCGGCCAGGCTTGGTCGTTAGCTGTAGAGAATGAATGTGTCCATGATTCTGTGGGCTGAGTTCTTACAGGGGGTTGCCCTTGGCCAGATTGCCCTCTGTGGGTCTAAATCGGCTTGATCTTCATTATCAGTATGTGATTTGTACCTGTTTTCCTGAAGTCTCGCTGGCATTGAACTTGGTCAAGCTGATAGGTGACGACAACTACCGTATGTTGTTTCCATACGTATTTCTTTTATTATGAATAAGGTCAGGCAAGTTTTCAGAGGAAGGATTATTTGTAAGTTCTGTTCTACGAAATTGCTTTAAAGTTTGGGTCACTGGTCATTTTATTATTGATTTATAGAAACTCTACCTGTAGGGAAAATGAGCTCCTATCTCATATGAGTCATTGTCATGTAAACATAAGAAGTCATGGAGGGCCACTTTGCTCTGCAGGAGTGGATGGTGCAGTCTTTGAAAAGGACAAGGGACAGGTGGAGAGAAGAGGGAGTGGCCTCAGCATGGGCCAGGTGGCAGAGATCAGCATGGCCTTTGGCCTTGGACAGCTGTGGTTTTGCCATGTGACATTGAGCCACCTGCTTCTTCAGGCCTCCCTTGGATGGTGGAGGGGCAGCAGCTGTAGGCAGTGAAGGAGGGAATCCGCCAGAAATGGTTAGGTCATTATTGCTGCTAGCTGTCATTATGGGAGGAGGCCTGGGGCCTGTGACAGTCATCAAAGAGACACAGGGTTAGGATGGCACCCAGGGAGAAAGGCAGGAAGGGGCAGGGGGATGAGGGGTCCTGTTTTGAAAATGCATGAGCTGAAGCTGCCTGGCTGGTGACTTCCTCTCCAGGCCACCCCTCTAGGGTGTGGGAGCCCTCCTGAGGGCACTGTGGAGACCTGTGCACTCTTGCGCCTTGGTGGTTGTGGATGAGAAGATGCGTGCTGAGTGCTAGCTCTCCTGCTCGTCCTGAGGCAATAGGCCCTCCCTGTTCACCAGTACAGCCTTCAGCTCTCGATGGCAGAAAAAAAGTTTCACTTTTAAAACAGAGTCCTGGATCGATTTGGGAGGCTGAGGCAGGAGGATCTTAAGTTCAGGGCCAGCCTCAGCAACTTAGCGAGAACTTGTCTCAAATAAAATAGAAAGAGCTGGGGATGTGGCTAGTGGCTAAGCACCCCTTGGTTCAGTCTCTGGTACCAAAAAGCAAAACGAAGTCCCAGACAGCCCAGGTCGAGGGCCCTATCTGCTCCTCCCCAGGCACTTCAGAGACTGCAGCCCAGCCTGCTCCTGCCTTCTCCAAAGTGCTCGTGTCCTCCTGACCAAAGGGCACGGTCTCTGTTGAGTAACTCGCACTCTCTGCCATAATCCAGGCTCTAGGAGGGCAGGGGATGAGTCCCCTGTGCCCAGAAGTGCCTGGCAGGTAGAGGGTGCCCAGCGGATGGGAACACAGGATGGAGGGACACCTAGCCTCAGGAGCACTCCGTTGCCGGCTCTGTGTCGAGCCCACCACAGTGAAGTGGAGGGAGACTCAGGCCCGTCACCATCCTGCAGCCAGCCCTGAGAGGGCATTGGCGGTGGTGGCAGCAGCGAATGCAGCAGGGGCACCGCTCCCTGTGCAGGAGGGCCTATGCCCTGAGGGGACCCTGCATTTGCAGAGCCCCAGGCTGGGATGAGGCAGTGGGGAGGAGTGGCGGAGCAAGAATGGGTCGCAGAAGCCGCAGCTCCCATGGGCCATCGAGAAGTTTGGATCTAGAAGGGGTGTACAGTCCCCAGCCAGGCCACGGCATGCTCCCGTTACTTGCTATTGGAAGATGGTTTGTCGGAAGACGAGAGTGGAAGTGGAGACCTTGAGGTGGCTGGGGGGGTCTCCAGGGAAAGGGGGCAGTGTCTCAGGCTGGGAGCTAGCAGAGACGAGGGAGAGGAGTGCAAGGGTTTGGGGGACGGTTTGGAAATGGCTGAAGGGCTGGAGGCTTGAGGAAGAGGGTGTGTGGCAATCACTCCACAGATGGCAGCCCTTTCTGTCGTCTCTCGGTGCAAGCCGCACACTTCACAGCCAGCCTCTCATCGAAACCCTATGGCGCCTCCTTCAGGTGGGTGGTGTTCATCCCCCATTTACAGATGAGGAAGTTGAGGCCCAGAGAGATGAATTTGCTTGCCCAGGCTGCCCAGCTGGTCAGGGCAGAGCCTGGATCCAAACCCTGGCAATTTGTGGCAAGAGACAGGCCCGGGTGTGAATCCCGCTCTGTGTAGTCAGCTCTCAGAAGTACAGTTTCCTCACCTGCAGAATGGAGTGAGGCCCCCGACTGACCACGCGGTGGCTGTGCACAGGCTAGCGCCCAGGGATGGTAGTGACCCTGTGGGCACTTGGACCGGCAGGTAGGGATGTGAGCTGATTCCATCACACACAGGCCGCCTGGGACAGTGCACAGGTTTGGCCCTTTGCAGCGGTTGCCTACCATGACGCCTGAAGTGTGGGAGGCTCTCCAGTGGTGGTCAGTGAGCAGTGAGGGGGTCAGTGGTCACCAAGGGTGCCCTGGAGCGATGTGGTCACTCACTTTGAGAAGCATATGAGATCCAAGCAGTAATTCCTTGCTGTCAGCCTCTGAGCTCTGACCCAGGTAGACTTGACTGTGCATGCGAGCATATGCGTTTGCGTGCGTGTGTGTGTGTGCGTGTGTGTTTGTGTACATGTGCATTTTCCTCTCATGTCTGTGCAGACAGAAGCCCCCAAACCGCGTTGTGCATCCAGCTTTGCTTCTTTAGCAACAGTGTTGGAGTCTGCCTCTCAGACAACTTCCCTACCCACCTTGGATCAGAGTGCCTCTTAATGTCACCACCCAGGGAACACCTGTGTGTATGTGTCACTGAACACAGAGCTTCCCTGGTGCCCTGCATGATGCACACCAGTGTTTCCTATTCTCTCTCTTGTGTTCTTCGTAAATCTGATCACAGCCCATGGGGTGACTTGAGTCATTGCGAATGGGCACGGGGAGCATTTGGCACTCACTCCTGGGAGGACTGTGAGGAAGGGTGCTTGGGCCCCTGGCTCTGTGACTTTGGGCAAGTTGCTGGCCTCTCTGGGCCTCAGGTTCCTTATCTGTAAAAATAAGGATAATAGCAGCTACTTTATAGTTACAAGGACTAAATAAATCGATGTATGTAATGTCCTTAGGTCAGGGTTGGGAGCCTGGAAAGAATGTATGTTTTACTGTGGAACAAAAATAACCGAGCCAAGTCTTCTGTCCTTCTCCATTATTTAGTTATGTGTTTCTCCAGGCAAGCTCGCCATAATGAGCAGCGTGCCGGTCCTAAGCTCTCATGTAGTGGAGAAGCAGCATAAACCACAGCAAACAAGCTTGGAATGTTCCAGTAAAACTCCAAGACGCTGAAATTTGGAATGTCATATGATTTTCATGAGTCACAAAATACTATTCTACTTTAAAATTTCCCCCAATCATTTAAAAATGTAAAAACATTTCTTATCTTGTGGGACATAGAAGACGGTAGGCCAGGCCAGGCAGTGGGCAGATCTGGCCTGTGGCCTTGGTGTGCTCTCCTTTGAGGTCTATCTGTTGTGGCTCATGATCGTTATCCCTCCCTCCCTGCAGGGGGGGTTGGTTCCAAGACCCCCGCGCAGACACCGAGGCTCTGTAGCTGCGGAGCCTCTCCGTAAACTCACGTGGATTTTCCAGTGTTGATTCTCACAGTGCTGGGGCTGGAACCCAGGGCTGTGTGAGCTGGGCGAGGGCTCTGTCCAGCAGTGCCCCACCCTGACAGCACCTGCTCCCCTGGGCTTTAGGTTGTTCATAGGTGACTTACAGTGCCTGAGACAATGTGCTATGTGAGTGTTGTCACGCTGTATTCCTCAGGGAATAGTAAGAAAAAAATGTCTGAACGTGCTCAGTGCAGACATAATTCCTTTATATACCTCTTTCCCCATTCAGCCGTCACAGGGCCAGCTGTTTGAAGTCACCTTGAAGTATGTATTCAGTTCCCTCTTCAGGAATACTCAAGGTGGTCCCTTGTCACGGCTAACAACAGCACTTAAAACACTGGAGTCCGTGTTGAACACACCTGCAGGGTAGATTTCTAGAAGGAGAACCGTGGGCTCCAGAGCAAAGTGCTTCCCAAACATTTTATATAAATGTCACCTGGTTGCCCTGCACGGTGCTGGGCCACCGAGGGCTTCCTCCCACAGGCCACCAGCACCAGGTCATAGCTAGCCTGCTCTTCCCTGGGCCACAGAACATCAGTTCCCTGTCCTTTTCTCTAATCATACACGAGGCCGAGCATCTTGCCATCCACATGGACAGCTGAAATCTTTTTGTGTGTGTGTGTGTGTGTGTGTGTGTGTGTGTGTGTGTGTGTGTGCTGGGGACTGAACCCAGGGCCTTATACATGTAGAGAGCAAGCACTCTACCAACTGAGCTCTGTCCCCAGGCCAGAATCTCTTGACAAATATTCCTGTGGCAGTGATTTCAAAACTGATCGGGCTGGAGTGCAGCCTAGTAGAGCACTTGCTGAGCATGCACGAGGCCCGCGGCTCACTCCCCAGCACCATGAGGGACGTGTGTGTGGTGTGTGTATACACATGTACATATACACACATGTATACACATAAGAATTTAATGCTTATTTAGAAAATTTAGAAGATACAGGGAAAAAAATCCCCTGTAATGGCACCCTGTGGGTGCAGTTGGTAATATCGTGGGTTTCTTCTGTGTCAGGGCACAGTGTGTCACCCTGGCCCTGCCTCCCCAGCCTACTGCCACCTGTCCCCCTCCAGGTAACCACGGCAACTTGTTTTGTACACCCTTCCAGGTCCTCGTGTGGGTGCTGAAAGGCGGCTTTCTGTTCTGTCCCGTTGGCTCCCAGACTGTGCATTATATGTTTAGGTGGCCTGGGGCACGTGTCCTCATTCCCGGGTATAGTTGGAAGCCTTCCTCTGGGGACAGTGGTGTTCATCTCCCTGGTACGTGGCTACTGATGGGCATTAGGCTCCACATGGCGCCACAGGAAGCCCCAGTCCCTGCCACATTCCCCCCGCGGCAGTCTGTTCACTTCCTGGGAGCTTGTTTGCTGCAATAAGCGGATGTGCACTCGCGATCTAGTCGCTGCGGGCGAACTGCACCCCTCTGGAGTCATAGCCAACTGTCCAGTGAGGACAATGTGCATGAAAGTCTTTACTGGACACTTGACTTATTCTCAAAGTGATGAGTTAAAACATGACACTCTGGGCTGCTTTTGATGTGCATTTCTCTCTCTCTCTCTCTCTCTCTCTCTCTCTCTCTCTTTGGTACTGGGGATCGAACTCAGGGGCACTCGACCACTGAGCCACATCCCCAGCTCTATTCTGTATTTAATTTGGAGACAGCGTCTCACTGAGTTGCTTCTTAGCACCTCACTTTTGCTGAGGCTGGCTTTGAACTCAGGATCTTCCTGCCTCAGCCTCCAGAGCTGCTGGGATTACAGGCATGTGTGCGCCAGGGCACCCGAAAAGTTCTTTATTCTTTAACCACATTTGTTAGTTATCTGTTGCTGTGTGATAAGTGACCCCTAAAACTTAGCAGCTTAAAGCAGCAAGCGTCAGTGTGTCTCTCAGTGTGAGTCAGGGCCTGGAAGCAGCGGGCTGGGGGGTCTGCCTCTGCGTCCCTCGTGAGGTCATGATCGAGGTGTCAGCTGGGGTTGCAGTCACTGGGCCCCACTAGGCTGGGGAGTCTGCTTCCAGCTCTCCTGTGGCTGTTGGCCAGAGGCCTCAGTGCCTCCCTGAGGGGGGTCTGTAAAGGTCAGGTCCGCACAGGCCACATCTGGCTTCCCCAGTGGAAGGAGAGCCGGGTGGGGCTGCTCAGAGTGACATTTGCAGTCTTGTTTTATAACCGAATCTGGGAAGTGACCTACGGTTGACCACACCTGCCATTCCAAATTGCACTGGTCACAGACCAGCCTTGGTCCCTTGTGGGAGGTGACTGAACACCAGGAGGAGGGGATCGTCAGGGGCCACTTGGAGGCTGGTTGCCTACCCTGTCGCCCACCGTGAACCTTCTGCATTGTTAGCCATATCCGGAGCTCTCACCCGTAGGCACGTCTCCCCTTGGAGTCACTTGAGACCCCATCGCCAACAACACCTCTTTACTCCTGGACATCTCAGTGTGATAGGTCAGCCTTGGGGGACAGGAGCACTCTCGTACTCACCTGTTGGACTGTCATCCAAGTCAGTGAGCTTAGCATGTACTGCAGGACCCAGTCTGCTGGCCACAGTCTGGTTTCACCTGCTGCCCCCTCACCATGGCCAGCGGCGTCCTCCCTGTCCACATAGCTCTCCAGCACTTCCGTGTGGCCGTTTGTTGATCCCCTGGGAAGGCATTTGGGGTGGTAAGTGGGCGGCACTGTGGTCCCTCCCCACCGGTCTCCTCCCGGCTGCTGGTCCTCTGGGTTCTTCCCAGTCCTCTGGGTTGTCCCCGGTGGGAGGCCTGCAAGCCCGCGCCAGATGTTCTTTCTTGTCCTCTTTTTTGCGGTACTGGGGTCCCACCCAGGGCCTCAGGCATGCTAGGCAAGTTCCCTGCCATCATTAGCTACACTCCTAGCCCTTCTTCCTCTTTCTCAAATTTTAAAAGTGACACACAAGGTCATAAACGTCCCTAGAGGGCACTGACCCACCCCTGCCTTGCCGGTTCCTGTCCCCTCCGCCTCCCACCCGAGCTCCGGCTGAGTGTGCTTTACCATAGATCCTGGAGCGAGATCGACCAGGTTCCGTCATGACCCTTCAAAGGCCCAGACCAAGCTGCCTTCTGGAGGGTTTCCTAGGGGACTGTCCCCTCGTCCTGTGGAGAGCGGGGCTGGCCCTCTGACCTCTCCTAGGGGTGGTAATCCTTTAGGGAGGTGTTTGTGTGGTTATTTTCATTGTTTTGTCTCTGAGTTGCCCTGAAGTGGTTCAGGGCCAGGTTTTGTACGGAGCTGGAAGGGTCGCAGATTTGGAGGACAGGGCTAGTGGTGACTCCAAAACAGTTGCCGTGATGCTGAGGAGGATTCTCAGCCGACAAGGCCACTGGAACATGAGCTTTTGCATCCACGTTGTCCCCACATGGGAGGCCCATGGCCGAGGCCCAGCGTTGGAGCACGGCAACATCGGGTGGCCTTTGGCAGGTCCCTTGAGCTCCCTGGTCCTGGGTCCTCCTCAGCCAGCTTTGGAAGATGGCTCGGCAGTGGCCAAGTGGTGTCAGGCAGAGGTGCTGAGCCGCCGTCAGGGCCTCCGAGCCTGACCCGTCCTCGTCAGGAGACTGGGCAGTGGTTCCGGGGCTCTCCGGCCTGTTTCTCTTCTGTGAAATGTGTCCAGTTGTCCCTGCTCTCATGGCCATGGGGCGGGGGGAGGGGTGGCAGTGTCGGTGTGGGTGCCCAGCCATGTGCACTAGATCTGCAGGTGTCAGGGTGTGGGGCCAGTGTTGGGTTCCTGGCTGGCACTCTCTAGCTGCATAGTGGCTGCTATGTCAGGGTTGGTGGCAGGTGACTTCTTGGGCAAGAGATTTCAGAGGGGTGAGGTGCTCTGGCAGAGGCCAGCTTGGGGAGGTCGCTGTGTGGCATTCAGAACGTGCTGGGCTGCCTGTGTCCTCAGACTCAGGCTCTGCCTGATAAGGGTGCAGGCACCTCATCAGGGCTGTGCGGCTAGGCGCACGGCCATGGCCCTGCAGGTGGACAGACAGGGCTCAGGACACCTGGACAGGGGCCCAGGACTCACCTGCCAGCATCTCCCCACCCATGTGGCTGTGAACAGGCCTGGCCAGGCTCCCACAGCTGCTTCTTGCCCTCAGCTCCATGGCCCCAGCCTCCGCGCCCACACCCTGGCCACAGAGCCGTGCCTGTGCTGTCCCTTGGCTGTGCCCTGGCTGTGCCGGGATGCTCCGCTCTGCCCCCTGCTCCCTGCTCCTGGCCTCCCTGGGCCCGGGCTGCCCCGCCTGCCGCTGCTCCCCTGCTGCTGCCCACCTGCAACCTGCAGGACCTGCCTTCACCTGGCCAGGGCGGGGGAGGCAGAGGGAGGTCAGAGGGCAGGGAAATGTGGGGGAGACGGTGGGGACAGGCGGAGGTGGGGGGCAGTGGGGATGAGGTGGCACAGGGAGAAGGCGGAGTGGAAGGGGAAGGGTAGCCACGTGGGGTCCTTCCTCAGGACTCAGGTAGGCTCAGAGTGGGGCTCGGGCTGGGGTGGCTGGGTCCTCAGTTCTGGGAGCAGTGGGACCCAGGCTGTTCTGACCCCGCCCCTCCCTCTCCCTCCCTCCCCCGCCCAGATCCCAGCAGCAGCTCCACTGAAGGGCCCGGGCCCCTCCTCGTCCCCCTCACTACCTCACCAGGCCCCTCTGGGAGACAGCCCCCACCTGCCCTCCCCGCACCCTGCCCGGCCCCCGTCACGCCCCCCTTCCCGCCCCCACTCCCGCCCCCCCTCCCAGCCCCAGAGCTTGTCCCGCCCGCCCTCAGAGCCAGCCCTGCACCCGTGCCCCCCACCCCAGGCGCCCCCCACTCTGCCCGGCATCTTTGTTATCCAGAACCAGCTGGGTGTACCCCCACCAGCCAGCACCCCAGCCCCCACTGCCCCTGGCCCCCCCCAGCCCCCCGTACGCCCCCCGTCCCAGCCACCTGAGGGTCCACTGCCCCCAGCCCCCCACCTCCCTCCTACCTCCACCTCTTCGGGGGCGGCCTCCTCCGAGATGCCCACCAGGTTGCCAGCCCCCACGCCGCCCGACTTCCAGCTCCAGTTCCCGCCTGGCCAGGGACCCCACAAGTCCCCCACCCCCCCACCAACCCTCCACCTGGTCCCCGAGCCCACGGCGCCCCCCCTACCGCCTCCTCGGACCTTCCAGATGGTGACCACCCCCTTTCCAGCGCTGCCCCAGCCGAAGGCTCTTCTGGAGAGATTCCACCAGGTAATGGACCACAGGGACACTGCCGCCCCACCCAGCCCATCCCTTCTGCTTCCCGGCTCTTCATCCCTGGCCCTGGTGCATTTGGCCACCCTCACGCCTAGCCCGTGCCGCTGCCCCTCAACCACCTGTCCCCTCTTCAGGTGCCGTCCGGAATCATTCTCCAGAACAAGGCTGGGGGGGCCCCCACCGTCCCGCAGACCTCCACCAGCCTGGGGCCCCTCGCCAACCCCACTGCCTCTGTGCTGGTCAGTGGGCAGGCCCCATCCGGGACCCCCACCGCCTCCAGCCATCCCCCTGCCCAGGCACCCATGGCCACCACAGGTAGGGGGAGGAGCCCACACAGGAGAGACCCGGGCTGAAGGGGGGGTGGGGGCTGAGATTCAAAGGGGTGGGCTGGGGCAGAGCTGTGGGGTTGCCAGCCCAGGACGATACCCGGACATCAGGCCACAGGCAGGCAGGGGACAGGGCTTGTTGCCCTGGCCCAGGGCTACCCAGGGCTTGTGTCTGTCAAGGCCAGAGGACCAGGAGGAGAGTGGCGGGCACAGAGGGGAGCACATGTGTGCGGCTGGCCTTCGTGCCAGTGACCCCGGACCTGTCTCCCTGCCCTGCCCAGGCCTCCCTCCTCTGCTTCCTGCCGAGAGCAAAACTTTTGCCAGCAACCTCCCAACCCTGAGTGTGGCCAAGGCCACTGTATCCGGGCCAGGGAAGTCCTCCGGGCTGCAGGTAAGAGGTCCTCAGAGCAGAGTCAGTGCAGGACCGGGCGTCATCAGGGAACTGGGAGACAGGGCCAGCGGGGCAGGCTGAACTAGGACACTGGAAACAGCCAGATGGGCAGGAAGGGGCAGATGGGACCCACTGACCAAGATTTAGAGGTCAAAACCCAGACGGACAGACAGGTGCCAGGACAGCCGGTGACATATGAGAGCCAGTCCCAGATGGGAGTTGACATGGACAGGAGGGACAGGGTCAGGACTCCAGACAGACCCAAAGGTCAGGTGGTGCCAGCGACACCAAGACAAAGTAAGGCAGACTGGCCTTCAGACGCTGGGGAGAGGGCGGTCAGAGGGACCAGGGCCCCAGAGTAGGTGGAGATGACCGATTTGCCAGAGGCAGAAGGGAGACAGGACAAGGCAGGGGAAAGAGGGTGACGTGGGTGGAGACACAGCATGCAGATGGAGGGGCCACATGTCAGACAGTGGCTCGGGTACAGGGCCATCTGGTGAAGGGACGAGACATGAGACCTGAGTCAGACAGACCCAGAGACCAGCCTGGGCAGGGGACAGGGTTCGGGCCTGCTTGTCACCCTCTCCCCTGTCCCCAGCGCAGCCCAGACCACATTTCCCCTGCAGCTGGGGCCAGGACCCCTGCCTCCCTGTGCCCCAGGCTGGAGGGGAGCAGGTCCAGACACCTGGGAAGGTCCCCATCACGCTGTCACTCACCTCCTTTCCCCCCTAGTACGAAAGCAAGCTGAGCAGCCTCAAGAAGCCCCCCACGCTGCAGCCCAGCAAGGAGGCCTGGTGAGTGGGTGCCGCCTGCCCTGTGCCCTGCCCCTGCACCCCAAGGCTGTGTTCCTCAGCAGTGTCTCTGCCCCCCCAGCACCCTCCAGGCCCCCAGTTTCCCCCTCCCGAGAATGCAGTGCTGACAAGAGTGGGGTGAGGGTTGGCTGGGACAAGTAGGCCTTGGCTTCTGGGGGGCAGCAGCTGGGTCTCCCTCAGTGCCTCAGACATGCTGGCACAGGGTGGGGTGAAGGGAATGGAACCTGTGGGCAGGTGGGTGTTAGAACCAAGGGTACAGGTGAGGGTGCCTGGCTGCATGGGTAGACGTGTTTTGAGAGGCAGAAAAGACTTGGTGGAGAGGCGGGCGCTCGGGTGGTGGGCGCTGATGCTGGTCCTCCTCCCACCGAGTGTGTATGAGGTGCTGAGTGTGTACATGCTGGCAGCCCCAAAGTGACAAGACCAGAGCCCCTGCCCCCAGGTGTGCTGGGAGTCCGGCCAGTGGCAGGAGGCGGTCGGTCCCTAATAATGGAGACCTAACCGCTGTAGCAGGCGCTGTGAGGAGGCGGCAGCCCAGGGAGGGAACAGGATCTTGCCACCTACCCACCACAACACCCTGCTCCCCAGAGGCTGTGGGGCCAGGAACAGGGGGACACTGCTGCCAGGTGGCAGGAGACCGAACAGCACAGAGCGTGAGCTTGCAGTCCAGCACTCCTTGGCGCTCTGCTCTGTGTACTTGGGGCAGGAGCGACTCCCTTACCTTTCGCAGCCTCGGTTTGCTCTACTGTAAAATGGGGAGATGGTCGCACTGCTGCCTTTGGCTGGTGGCAGGGAGTCAGTGGAACAGGGCCCAGGCTGGGTACGTGTGCCCATAGCCTCCCGCTGCAGGGCCCTTGCCCTTCATCTCCCTCCTGGCCCTCACCCTGCTCTGTGTGGTCTCTCCCACCCCTCCCTGCCCCAGTTTCCTAGAGCATTTGCACAGACACCAGGGCTCGGTCCTGCACCCCGACTACAAGACGGCCTTCCCCTCCTTCGAGGACGCCCTGCATCGCCTCCTGCCCTACCACGTCTACCAGGGCGCCCTCCCCTCCCCCAACGACTACCACAGAGGTGAGGCCTCCCCATGGTCCCCTGACCCCCAGGCCTTGGTAGGGGCAGGAGGCCCAAAGGATAGAGACGGGTCAGCGCATGTGCACTTGACCTGCGGTCCCAGCACAGTCTGAGCCCTCATTTCTGGCCCCGTCGCTTGTCTTCCTGGCAGTGGACGAGGAGTTTGAGACGGTCTCCACGCAGCTGCTGAAGCGCACCCAGGCCATGCTTAATAAATACAGGCTCCTGCTCCTGGAAGAGTCCCGGGTAAGGGCCACACCCCCCTGCCACCCCTCCCTGCCCTCCCTCCCGCCTATGACCCTAGCCTTTCCCTTCCCCTCTCTGAGAAGGGAAGGGCTTCCTGCCCCTTAGCGGGAAGAGAGGTTGGCAGGAGGTCAGATCACAAGACACCCCCCCTCCTCGTCTTGCTTCTTAACCTGTGTTCTCTTCTCAACCCCACCAGAGGGTGAGCCCCTCGGCTGAGATGGTAATGATCGACCGAATGTTCATTCAGGAGGAGAAGACCACCCTTGCCTTGGATAAACAGCTTGCCAAGGAGAAGCCAGGTGAGAGAGGAGGGGAGGGAGTGGCGCTCCCAACCCACCTGCGATTTAGGATTACGTTGACCTGGCCCCTGCCTGAATCCACCACCAGGTGGCGTCCGCCCTGGCCGGCAGGCTCTCTGGCGCTGCTGTCCTCACACTGTTCATGCCTATGTCGGTTTCTCCCCTGGATCCTGGGGTGAGGGAGTATCCTGCCATCCCCAGGAGAGCAGGAGAACCCAGAGGCAAACACTGGGGCTCCAGGATTACAAAACATGCAGTGACCGTGCCCACTCAGGTGCCAGTCCCGTGCCTGCTGGAGAGCCAGTGGCCCTTTTTTTTTGCCTTTTTACTGCTTCTCACAAGCCTCTCCCTAGTCGATGCAGGAAAGGGTACAGTCAAATCCAGCCATGGTTTTCCAAAGTGTTCCCTTAGCCCTCACCCACCTTCTAGTCTAACCCCCTCCAGTGCTTCCCTGGAGAAAAGCACTGTCCCTGTACCTGCCACCAACATGGGCTTTCATTCTGCTAGATTGGATCTTGTTTTTATTTTTAGTTATTTACTTTTTGTGTGTGTGGTGCTGGGAATCAAACTCAGAGGGTTGTGATGAACCTTAGTTTTTAAAAAAGTAGCAGCTGGTACCTAAATGGGTGCGAGGTGTGGCTGTGGTGAAGTGGGGCAGGAGCTCGTGGTGGTGAGGTGCTTCCCTAAGCAGACCGTAACTCCCTGGTTCCAACACCAGCTCTGGCACTGACTGGCCGTGGGACCTTGGCGAGGTACTTGCCCTCGCAGGACCTCTCTTTCATCTGTAAAGTGGGAGGTTCCAGTAGTGGTATACAGTCCTTTATCCTAAACCCTGTGACACGGTACATGGACAGTGTCTCTGGGAAGCAGCCTGTGAGCACACACACGTGAGGATTTCTGCAGTGGACGAGATGGGCTTGCGGACTGTGTAGTCAAGACCACAAATACCCTCACATCACCTCAGACCAGATTTCTCCACCAAATGAAATACCCTCCTCCCTCCACATTAAATACACAAACGGAACAGTGCGGCCAGTAGAGCTACCTGCGGTGGTGACGCTGCTGTATAGGTGCTGGCCAGTGTGGCGGGTGTGGCCAGTGTGACCGAGAAACTGCGCCTTTTGTTTTATATTCTTTTAGTTAGTTCTTTCACCTCTTGAACAGCCCCTGTGGCCCTGTGGGAAAGTGTGGTTTAGTTTAGGAAGGGCTTGGGATGGCTGATAGGTCACATCCGCCCTTGTGCCCTGAGGATGTGCAGAATCAAGGCCTCAGCCTGAAGCCTGCCTGGGGCAGGTGCTCAGTGACACCAAGTCTTAGCTCTGCTCTGGGGCCTCCGCGCTCTCCTAACTCCTGTGGGTTTTCTTTGTCCTCTGATTTTGCAGACGAGTATGTGTCTTCCTCACGCTCCCTTGGCCTCCCTGTCTCAGCCTCTTCTGAGGGTCATCGGCTGACTGGCCACGGCCCACCATCGTCCTCAGCTTCCGGGGCCTCAGCCCAGCCCCCTCCACACCTGCCCACCAAGCTCGTGATCCGCCACGGTGGAGCGGGTGGCTCCCCGTCGGTGACCTGGGCCAGGGCATCGTCCTCCCTGTCCTCCTCGTCCTCCTCCTCTGCGGCCTCATCCCTGGATGCCGACGAGGATGGCCCAATGCCCTCCCGCAACCGCCCACCTATCAAGACCTATGAAGCCCGGAGCCGCATCGGCCTCAAGCTCAAGATCAAGCAGGAGGCCGGGCTCAGCAAGGTCGTGCACAACACGGCCCTGGACCCTGTGCACCAGCCCCCGCCGCCGCCCCCTGCCGCCCTCAAGGTGGCCGAGCCCCCGCCACGGCCCCCACCGCCCCCGCCGCCCACGGGCCAGATGAACGGCACTGTGGACCACCCGCCGCCCACCGACCGCAAGGCCGCAGTGCCCGCCGCGCACTGCCCGCGCCTGCCGCTCCGGAAGACCTACCGTGAGAACGTGGAGGCGCCCTGCGCCGCGGAGAGCACAGGCAGGGCCCGGGGCGGCAGTCCCGCCCCGCTGCCCACCAAAGTGGACGAAGCCACCAGCGGGCTCATCCGCGAGCTGGCAGCCGTGGAGGACGAGCTGTACCAGCGCATGCTGAAGGGGGCCCCGCCCGAGCCCACAGCCAGCGCCGGGCAGGGCGGGGGCAGCGGGGAGGCCGCCTGGGAGGCGCCCCCGCTGCCACCTGCCAAGCGGCGCAAGTCCGAGTCCCCCGATGTGGACCAGGCCAGCTTCTCCAGCGACAGCCCGCAGGACGACACGCTCACCGAACACCTTCAGAGCGCCATCGACAGCATCCTGAACCTCCAGCAGGCCCCCGGCAGGACGCCCGCACCCCCGTACCCTCACGCCGGCCCCGCGGCCGTCACGCCCACCTCGCCGTCGCCCCTGCACAGGCCCGAGGCCTACCCACCCTCCAGTCACAACGGCGGCCTCGGCGCCAGGACGTTGAACAGATAACACCGGCTGGTCTTCCCTTCCCTGTCGCGGCCACCAGGGCGTCCGCTGGGCATCCGACCATAGCCTCCTGGGGGACACAGCCGAGCCGGGGATCCCCTGACAGTTCTTTTTGCCTAAGTTATTTGAGTCACAAAGGCCTCCTCCCCGCCTCCTGCCTCTGCAGAGTGGGCAGAGTGGGCGTGGGCTTAGGGGAGGGGGCTGCAATGGAGAATGGCCCCAGCCAAAGGAGGGGCGTCCTGGTATGTCAGTTCTTGTTTCTTCCCACTTTCTGCCACCGCCCGCCCCTGTCTGGGGACATGTGCGAGTGTTTGCCTGGGATGGGGGTACCTGGTGGCTCCCACTGCTCACCTCTAGGTACCTGAATGTGTGGATCCACAGATCATGGCCCAGGGCGCTGGAGCTGGGGGTGTCCTCCCGGGTTCGCGCAGCGTCTCCCCAGCGCCCCCCACTGGCTGTAAAAGGAAACCGGAGAAGAGGCCAGGAGCCAGTGTCCCAGATGGCCTGGCTCGCAGACGTGCGTGTGCGTGTCCAGCCCTGTGCCTGGTCTCGGGGTGTGTGTGTGTGTGTGTGTGTGTGTGTGTGTGTGTATGTACGCGTGCGTACGCGTGCGTGGGCGCGCGTGCAGGTGAGAGAGGTTCCCACATGCTCCCACCCCTCCACTTTGAAATCTGAGCAACAGAAAACTGGGGGCGCCTCCCCCTTCCCCCAAGGTCTTCCCTCTGCTCTTCCTGCCTCCAGCTGCCCGCGCCACGTTTTGAAATCTCGGAGACAAAACTAGTACTGTAAGATAAATTTTTTTGTACTGTATTTATTGTGTATAACGATTTTTTTAAAGGAGAATTCTGTACATTTAGAACTCTTGTAAATTAAAAACTGATCCTTTTTTTTAAAACTGTACTCAAGCCCCTTTGGCCCTGTTGCTTTGGTGGGGTTGGAGTTGGGGTTTAAGAGCTAGGCCTGCATGCCTGCATGCGAGGGCGGGAGGGACTAACCACGTACCAGTTTTTGAGCCCAAGGCAGGCCGTTCTAAATATTCTGGGTAAGATTCTATGATCCTCAGAAACACTCCGTGGGAGAAGAGTCCTGGCAGCCTCTGGCCACGATGCTGTCATCAGCTGATCCATATGTCAGCTCGTTTTATGTTCATTGCTGTTTTATTTAGTACCCGAGATTGAACCCAGGGTGCTTAACCACTGAGCCACATCCCCAGCCCTTTTTATTATGAGACAGGGTCTCGCTAAGTTGCTTTGAGCCTTGCTAAATTACTGAGGCTGGCCTTGAACTTTCTTTTTTCTTTTTCTTTCTTTTTTTTTTTTTTTTTTTTAGTACCCGAGATTGAACCCAGGGTGCTTAACCACTGAGCCACATCCCCAGCCCTTTTTATTATGAGACAGGGTCTCGCTAAGTTGCTTTGAGCCTTGCTAAATTACTGAGGCTGGCCTTGAACTTTCTTTTTTCTTTTTCTTTCTTTTTTTTTTTTTTTCTTTGGTCTGGACATTGAACCCAGGACCTTGTGCAAAGGAGGTGAGCACTATACCACCTGAGCTATATCCCCAGGTCCCTGGCCTGGAGCTTTCCATTCTCCTGCCTCAGGCTCCTGAGTCTCTGGAATTACAGGTGTACACCACTGCACCCAACATATGTTGCTGTTTAAAATTACCTTTTTTAATATATATAATCAGCTCTCCACATCCCTGGGTTCCCCATCTATGGGTTCAGCCAACAGGATCAAAAATGCTTCTGTAAAAACTGCATCTGTACTAAACATGTACAGAGTTTTTTGACTGTCACAGTTCCCTAAACAATACAGCATGACAACCATAATCTAGCCTTTACATTGCATTAGATATGACAAGTCACCTAGAGATGATTTGAAGCATACAGCAGGATGTGCATAATTATATGCAGACACTATGCCATTTTGTATCAGGGCTTGAGTAGGCAAGGATGTAGGTATCCACGGTGGGGCCTGGGGCCAGTCTCCCAGGATAGCCAGGGACCCTTGTGCCACTGGCTCCCTGGCTCAGAATTCAGCCAACAGCATGGAACTTGTGCCTGGCCACAGCTTATCCATATCCCCCCGCGTGAGGCGCAACACAGCCTTGCGCTTGGTGACCAAGGCAGCTCTCCAGTCTCCACTAGGGGCCATTTTAAACAGTGAATCACTCAAGAAGCTCCTGAATGTGGAAAATGTGGTGCCACATAAAAGGGACTTGCTTGCAATATGAGCACTGAAATGGAACGCACAGAGGCGCCTGTTCCTCTTCCACGTTGCCTGGGAACACGTGTGGGGGTGACTTGCTATTTTGCTGTCCTATTGTGCATGCCCGTGGAAGTACCAGGGGTATTGATTTAAGGTGTTCAAAGAAATTTTGGTGAGTAGACAGATTCACCAATATGGCTGACGCACATCTTGAGGATTGGCTACCAAACAGTGATGAGTCAAATCAAAGTGTGTTGGTCTCCTTGGACTTCTGTAACAAAATGCCACAAACTGGGTGGCCTACAACAACAGACATTCTCAAGGGAGGCGCTAGTCCCCTTTTTGTAAACTAGAAAATGGTGCCCCTTTCTCCTGCAGCCTCCTGGATTTTGGAGGTGAGCTGGATTCTAGCCCCCTCTCATCCATTCACAGTGACTTGTACAATGAACAGCCTGTTCAACTGCACATGACATGTCTCAGGATCAGGTGGCAAGGGAGGTTACATATAAGCAGAGTCATGCATGAAATATAGCAGGAAACATCAGGGATCTCTGGGCCAAGAGCATCTAAGACTCAAGGAACAGCCAACAGCAAGGTGACCAGTGGGGTTGGAACGCAGGAAGTAAGTGGCAGAAGACAGAGGTAAGGTCAGGAGGGAACAAAGGAAGCCTAATCCTATAGGATCTTGTGCTCCAGGGGGTGACTTGGCTCTCCCTCTAAGAGGGGACCACAGCCAGCTTCTAAGCCTTGGAGGACTGTGAGCTGATGAGGCTCACTGGCGCCCTCTGACGGCCAAGTGGGGAAGGGCGGTGGGGGAGTGGCAACCAAGCCCACTGTGCCAGCCTAGGCGACCGAGGCAGTGGCGGCTGGACCTGTCAGACACGCCCATCTTCTCTAGAGGCCCGTGGGGTTGTTTGTGGGTGGGTAGCTGATAAATGGGGGCTCAGAGGGATGGGCTAGCTCCCTTCCTGGCTCTAGACCGAATAAAGCTCTGTGAGAGAAGGGCTCTCTTCTGGTTTTGGATCACAGGACTCTGATCCCTGGTGGCCACACTCAGAGGGTGGCCGTGATTTCCAGGGCCTCCGTTCTGAAAGGGTGACTGCGTGCCGCAGGGCAGAGGAAGGCAACGGCTGCCATTCCATGAACACACAAAATAAGCTTTGCTGGCGGGTCGCAGCTGCAGCTTGGTGGTGGTCTGTGGGTTTCCCCTTCCCACAGGAACCATCCGGGTCAATCAGGAGGCCCCACGACATGGCCCAGTAATAGGGACGCAGGGCAGGGTCTGAACCAAGAGAAACAGCACCCGTACTTCAGCCACTAAAATCCAGACACACTGGCTGTCACCTCCATCCATTTTTAAAAATTTTTGCTTTTAAAAAAAATTGTAGTAAAATGTACATAACGCACAACTGAACATATTGACCATTTGTAAGTGTCCAGTGACCCCCAGCTAACCACATTCTGCCTTCTGTCTCTGGCTCTGGCTCCTCTGGGTCCCTCCCTGTGAGTGGAATCACATAGCGTCTGTCCCTGGGTGACGGGCTGTTTCACTTGGTGTGATTTATTCAAGGTCCATTCATGTGTGGCACGTGCCAGATTTTCTCCAAACCATTTGGACAGATGGGGAAGGAGGGAACCAGAAAAGCAGAACAAACTAAAAATGAGATAGTGTCTTGGGGAGGGGGACCCCAGAGGCTGCAACCCCTGAAATAGGATCCCTGATTCAGGAAACAGGGACAGAAATACAGGCGGGCAAGACAGCACCTAGGCTATTCAGCATATTCAAAGAGACAGGGTGGTTGGACACTCAGAGATCCCTCTAGGGTGGCTGTGTGTGTGTGTGTGTGTGCGCGTGTGTGCGCGCTCGTGTGTTTGCACGTGCTGGGGATTGAACCCAGGGTCTCACACATGCTAGACAAGCACTCTACCACAGAGCCACCTTCCCAGACCACAATCTTAGAATATTTTCATCACCCCAATTATGTACATTATTGTAATCAATTAAATATTTTCTGTGTAAATATTAAATAGTCTATAAATTACAATTTTTGCTGGGACTGGTGGCCACACCTATAATCTCAGGAAGCTGAAGCAGGAGGAAACCAAGTTTTAGGCCAGTCTTAGATTGGCCCTGTCTCAAAATAAAGATATAAAGAGCTGGTGGCATGACTCAGTAGTAGAGTGCCTCTGAGTTCCACCCCAAGTACTGGGAAAAAAAAAAAATTCAAGCAGGGCATGGTAGCACATGCCTTCAATCCCTGTGTCTCGGGAGGCCCAGACAGGAGGATCATGAGATCAAAGCCAGCCTCAGCAATTTAGTGAGGGCCTAAGTAACTTAGTGAGATCCTATCTCAAAATAAACACAAAAAGGGCTGGGATGTGGCTCTGTGGTTAAGTTCCACTGGGTTTTATTCCTGATTTAAAAAAAAAAAAAATCTTATACTTAGGATTGAACCCAAGACCTTTCACACACTGGACAGTCTACCACTTAGTCCTAGCCCTCCCCAGCCCTTTGTTTTGTTTTAGGTAGGGTCTTGTTAAGTTGCCCAGGCTGGCTTCAAACTTATAATCCGTCCGGCCTCAGCCTCCTGAGTAAATTCGTTTATTTTTAATAAAAAGTGACTGTGTGCCAGGCACTGTTCTAGGCACTGGTCGCCAACAATGAATACGTTGGACAAAATCTTGCCCCTGGGAATCTGACACTCTAACTGGAGGGGAGGGGACTGAAAAATTAGTAGCATTTACAGACTGGCCAATGGTGACAAGGGCCAAGGTGGGAAATCAAGTAAGGAGGAGGACAGGAGTGCCAGGGGCTGGGTGGGGAATTCTCAGAAGAGGCCATTGGAGCAGAGATTCAGGGGAAGTGATAAAGGCCTCTAGATGGGCAGCTGAGGCACAGAGGAGCAAGGTCCCCAAGGCCTCCTGTGCGGAATCCCAGAGGTTCAGGGACCTGGAGAAGAGCTCAGCTCTGGATATGGATGATAAGTATTGATGTTTCTTAAGCACCTACTGTGGGCCAGGGGCGCTGCTAAGTCCTGAACAAGCAAGTTTCTAAATTCACTTCTCTGGGCTCCACTGTCTCCTCTGTAAAAGGAGGGTAAGGACACCTGGTCCCTGGGACATGCTGAGGGGTCCGTGAGGTCACTTTGAGAGCTTAGAGCTGCCCTGCACAACGGAAGTGCTCAGCTGGCTGGAAGGAGCCTCTGCCCGAGTCAGGCAGGGCGCCAGAGCCTGAGCACAAGGCAGGGGACCACGCAGCGGGAAAGCCCTGCCCTGGGGGCTGTGTTCTCCAGAGGGGACAGCCACAGAAGCAGAGAAACCCAGAACAAGTTTAGTGGTTGTCAGGACGGTGGAGAAGAATAAAGAGGAGATGGGGAGTAAATGGTGGGCGCTACACGGGGAGATGAGGGAGGGCTTCTCGGAGGAGGTGGCTTTGAGCAGAGACCTGAAGGAGGGGAGGGAGGAAGCCATGCAGATCCCTGGGGACAGAGGCGTCCAGAGAGAGGGCACAGCACCGGCAATGGCTCTGAGCTCGAAGCACAGTGCGCTTGCTTGAGGATCGGCGAGAGGAGAGGGAGAGGGAGCCGGAGGCGTGCGCAGGGAGGGCCTGGGGGACTTTGGCTTTGAGCCGGAGGGAATCGGGAGAGTTGTGAACCGCTTCACGA